AATCTCCAGGCGCTCGAGCTGTGTCCCCTCATGGCGCAGGTACAAATCATCGGCACCAAGGGCTCCGCCGACGACGTTTTGCTCGGTGCGGACAAGTCTGAGTGTAGCTGCGGAGGGAACCGCAAGATGTTGTCGAACCACTGGACAGTGCCGGCGTTTGTGCTCCCATCGCAAATGCCGACCACGATCCCCAAGTCAACGCTCGCGGCCAAGGATAGAAGCCGTAAGAAGTCTCGTCAGTCGATGTCGAGCGACTCTTTCAGGCCCGAACGCACGCCGGATCGAGAAATGTCGACAGAGGACCAACACACCGGGATGGGCGTGCTGCTCGACGCTCTCACTTCTGTCGGCGGAATCCCAGCTTCTCCGGCACCGAAGAGCCGCGCGCGGCCGGTGGCGCCGGTGATGTCTCCGGTTCGCCCAGTTCGGGGAATCCGTCAGGTAGAGCTTGATCTCGGAGCGATCAACCCGGACACGTTGGCCGCACAGGAACAGATCGTTCAAGCCACAGCGCACAGCATCAATCAGATTCCGGATGAGAATCTCAGAAAGGAACTCCACAGTGCCATCGCACGATCCTGTGAGTTACACATGACGGCTTCTGCGGCTCAAATGGCTCAGCGAAAGGCGGAGAGAGAGGCGGAGGAGCAGAAATTGCTCGTCCACAGACTCGAAGAGCTTTTGGAGAAATCGGAAGCCGCATCGCAGCAAGCTCAAATCCAAATCTCAAAGACGACGGACGACAGTATTTATGGGCCGATCGCGAGCAATGAGAACGATCGCGTCATTCAAGGTAGCGCCCTTCTCGCGCACAAACTGATCGCCATGCAGCAAAACGTGGCAACAATCGCCGCTCGTTGTGAGCTCATGCTCGATCAAACCGCGCCCCGTTCCACGGTCGAAGAGCTCCTTCGTACCGAAATGAAGGCTCACTTACAAACGACGCAAGCGTTGTTGCGCGCTGAAACCAGTCTCGCTGCGTATGCCGCCGCTGAGGCCACATGCGACGAAGAGATTTGGCGCACTCAATACGTCCAAGCAGCGCAGCGCAACTTGGAGCAAGCGGCGTACCAAGCTCAGAACTCCACGGCGGCGGAGACGCGAGCGGTGCCCACTCCCGCTGATGATCAGTTTTCCATTCCACCGCCGGCACCTGTACTCGCGGCGTCGCGGCCAGTCGCTGGGCCAGAGCCGCTTATGAAGATCAGCGCGGATACACCGATGACGACGATGAAAGCACCTCGAAGCGTCAAGTCCATCGCCATCATGGCCGACGCCAATGCGACAGCGAACATGGATGGTTTACCACCGAAGACGCCGATCGGTGGATCGGCAAGACCAAAGCGACTTGCATTTGTCTCTCCGCCATAGGCGAAGCGTGCAAGCTGACGAGAATCGAATGTCAGCGAGTATCTTGTAATAAATTAACTTTGCTCATGAGCCACTCCACGGCGCTTGCGTCGTTCACTTTCCGACCCAGACGATCCCAAGACGTTTGAAACAGCAGCTGTACGGGACGCCGGTCGACTCGATCGAGCCCAAGCCTTCACGCCGATCGAGACAACTTGTGCCACACATTATGTGTAATCGAGAGGCATGTGGAGCACATGTGGCCACTTGTGACGTCACTCACACGCGCGCGCCGCCAAGTAAAAGCCCGAACTCGCATCGAACATGATAACTCGCACCTCCAACAAGTTCTCGCACCTCTTCGTCCTGGTCTTCGCCGTCGTCGCCTTGTTCGCTCCGCTCGGAGTGGAAGCTGGTAAGAAGCAAAAATGGGACAGGCCGCAGAAGCAACACGAGAAGCACCACGGGTGGTGGAAGCCCTGCAGCGACGGTTGGTGGGGCGCGATGCGCGAGAACAAAGAGGTGCGCGCCGGGGACCGCCGCGTGCTCGGCTGTCTCGTCTCTAACTGCAAGTGGGAACTCAAGATGTGCGCCAATGACATGGTTTGTCGACAGACGACCCGTTGCTTGCGAGACTGCGGCGACGACGGTCGAGAGTGCGCCTTTGACTGCATTAAGTCCAACGAGGCGTTCAACAGCGAAGAAGTCAAGGCTCTCGGTCAGTGTGCTATCTCGAACGAGTGCATGCAAAGCCCGTAAGCGGCTCTCGCGCTCCCGTTTGCACGCGAGCGATTCAAGATTCTTTGATGCATCGAGCAGCGCCTACGCGCGCGCATTTACCACGCTCCCATGGACTCAATTGTCATTCACATGCATTTTTACATTCATCACTAGCTACTGTACTCCACTACCTACCCATCCAACCTATCGACCTGGTCCTTTTGGAACAGCTCGGGCATGTGCGCGTTGGTCACGTTCATACGTTCAAAGTTGACTTGTCGTTTCTTCTTCTTCTTCACAATCTCGGGCGCTGGTCCGAGATCGTAAATCGGACGCGGCGTGGGCTCAATACCTTGACTTCGCAACGCTTTGTCGAAGTCGACGTCGTGCTCTGGGATCTCCACCTCGTGAAACGACGCGACAAAGTCCTTGTTCACCTCGACCTCGTACTCGGGCTGTTTGCGGAACAACACCTTTTGCTTTGTCTCCGTGTTCGTCAACAAAATGACCGCATCCTCCTCCGCGAGCGCGAGCGCGTCATCTTTCGCCTTGACGTACGAGTCCACGATCTCATCGATCGACAACCCGTCCGGCGTCGAGTTCACGAGCTCCAAAACGTCCTCCTTGCACAGCACATCGTGCTTCGCCTTGTACCTAAACAACCCGGTGTCCTCGTCGTAATCCACCTTTTCGTGATTCCTCAGCGAATCGAACAGCGGCCCGACGTTACATTCAAACCCCAAAAACACTCGCAGATCGTCGTTCGACATCGGTCGTCGCTGTTGAAACAGCGTATCGATCGCGTGTTTCTGTTTCGCCAGCAGATTCGTCGCCACCACCTTCACAGGTTCCGGCGGCTTCTCCAGCTCCATCGCCGCGATCGCCGCCGCCTCCTCCTCAGCCTTCCGCTTCATCCGCTCGTACTGCGCGTCCGATCGCGCATCCAGCGCCGCGCGATCGCGCGCCGCCGCCGTCATGATCTTCGATGCCGCTTTCTGTCCATGACGATACTTATTCAGCGTCTTCTCCAGCACCGACGCCTTACGTTTGCTCGACATCGCGGCCGTTCACTCGTCGTCCCCTCTCGCGCGCGATGATCGGCTTCGCGCCGCGCTCGTCGTCCGCGCGCGACCGCTGCGCGGTGTTTTGTGAAGAATCAAAATCCTCAAAGGTCCCCACTCGATGACGCGGCGTGGAAATGCTCGACGTCGAGTCCACCGCGCTGGCGAAACGAGCGCTCGGGACGTACTTCGCGGTCGTGTGCGCGGTGTCGATCGCGTCGCATCGCGCGTTCGCGGGGAAATTCGCGCGGGGACACCGATTAGCCGGGCTCGCGCACCTGGGCGTGCTCGCCGCGCGCGCGAGCGCGCTCGCGACGGATGAAGACGCCACGCGCGGCGCGGTTTGGGACGCCGTTATGTTTGCGACGGGAATGACAGCGACGCTCACGGCGTATAGGGATTTCGCAAAGGCCCGGGAGCACGTGGAGCGTCGAGAGCGGGCGAGCGGGACGCTGCATCGGGACGCGGCGGTGACGGGGAGCGAAATGTTAGAGCACGCGTTTTATCATCTCGTGAATGGGTTCCAGATCGCGTACGTCTGGGTGAGCGGGACTCAGGCATTCAAGACGGCGAGATTGGAAACGCGGATGGTAATCTGTCTCGCGGCGACGAGTGTGTGGTTCGCTCGCGAGAAGTTTCCGACGAATAGCTTTTCTAAAAATTATAAGAGTGGGACATTCGTCGACTTGGAGACAGTGATGTATCGTGTGAAGAAGTATCAATACGTGCTCTACAAGACGGTGTTGTTACATGGACTGAACGTCAGTCTCGCTATCGCACCGCGAGCGGAATTAGCGGACATGTTTGAGTGGCGAATGTATTGGTTACTACTGAACGCGGCGTACGTCTTTGAGTTTTTCCTTCAGACGCTCGTGCGACGCCGATATATCCCTCAGTGGACCATGCTCGCGTTAAATCAAGCTTTGATGGTCATCTCAACGGCAGCGGTTATTCCAGTAGTGACGGAGTGCGTCTTACCGTCGGCTGCCCTCGTCGCGTTCGTGCTGAACTTTCTCAACCGAAGGCGAGAGGTGTTCAATGTCGCGGTGGCTCTTGTCGTGAGCTCTCTAGTGGTGTAATTTAGGTATTCTTTGTATGTTCCACGCCAGAAATGTCGTGCTCAATGTGTCGTTCGAAATACAAATGAACCTACTATACGCTAGACGACTTGATACGAATCGGAGAGCATCATCTTCTTGCACGCAAACGTCACTGGAGCGCCATCAGTGGTGCGAGCAATGCTGGTGATGTCAATATCGCAGAACGTTTGCGTCGACGAGAAGTTCACGTCAATGGGAAAGAACGCCTCAGTGTTCGCAACCGGGATGATGAACTCCATGCTGCCACTTCGGTTGCTACTGTCGATCAGCTCGATGTTCCACTCCATGACCCCGTGTCGCGCATCAAAGCGGAACTCTCCATCGCACGAGTTCACCACCGGTGGATCGCGGCAAGGTGGACAGGGGACGGAGATGACGACGTGCTGTAAGTCCATCGCATCCGTCGCCTCGTATTCGATGCTCACCGCGGTCTCTCCGCCGTTGATGGTCGGCCAGCAGTTGATGCTGATCGGTAACTGCGATTCATCCTTGGTGGTGAAACGCCACTTCAAGACGCCCAACGCCGAACCGCACGGGAAAGGCCGGTTCGGATCCTTTAAGCCTAAAACACCCTCGTTCGCGTGCAAGCCCTTGTCGATGTTCGGATGCGTCTTGAACTGGAATCCCGAGTTGGCCCCAGCCTTGGTCATGACGCGAATCAACGCGTCGTCCTCGTTGCGCACCTCGAGGAGCATGTTGCCCTGCAGCTCCATCTGCTCCAAGCCACCGTTGCGGTTCAACGATACGTTGAGCTTTTCTTCGATGACCAAGCTCACGCTCTCAGTGGGCATCGCGGGCGCGGGCGCGGGCTCCGGCACGCTCGAACGCATAGGCTCAAAGTCTGGCTCCACCGATTCGCCCTCGGCGCGCAAACTTTCGAGGAACTGGTTCGTCTTCGGCTTGCCACCGAGCTGCATGCCCTTCTTCGGACCAGCGAGAGACTTTTGCGGCATGCCAGATCCCTTTCCGGATTGCCCGTAGCCGCCAAGGTCTTCGCTGTACTTAGAACGGAAGCCACCGCTCGGGCGTTCGCCGTCGAATCCGCCACCTTCGCTCCCGCTTCGGCCGAGGTATCCGAACTCGTCGTCTCGACCGTCTTCGAATCCGGCGGGTCCACCAAACGGTTGGTTTCCGCCGCCGAACCCACCGCCAAATCCACCGCTCGGGCTGCCACCGAACCCACCCGCGGTGCGCGAGCCAAATCCTTGGTTCAGGGCGCTGTACGCGCCACCGCGCGCGTGCATTGCTTGCTGCTGAATCTTCGACTCGAGCTTCACCTTGTCAATTTCCGTCGCCTTGCGTCGCATGACGTCCTTCGTATCGTTAATCTTGCTCTGAATCATCATCTTGTGTAGCTTTTCCTCGTGCGATTGCATCTCCGTGAACGTCTTCACCTGCGCCATGGTGACATTTTCCTTGTACCCGAGTGAGATGATCTCGTCAAAGGCAAAAATCAAGTCGAACGCCGCGTACGAGACCCCTTCCTCGTCCACCTGCCCCTGCGTGTACTCCGGCAGTGTCTTCGCCAGCAACCGCAAGACATCCAAATCCTCTAAAATGTTACTCCCTTTCGTCGTCACCAAGAGCAGGTACAACGTCCCGCACTCGAGCGGTTGATAGACGTATCGCACGTTTTCCGTCTCCACGTACGTGTGCTGCTTCCCGGCGCTTACGAGTTTGGGAAACGCCGAGAGCAAGCCCTCGACCCGCACTCGGGTCATCTGCACGTACTGTCTCGACACCAAGGCTGCGTACGAACCGATGTACGTCCACCGTCAGTCACCACGCTCCGCGTCGCGCGCGCGGTTTCGGCTCGCGGGTCCAGAACCATCGAGCGCCCGCGCGACCGTTCTCACGGAATCCAATCACAGATCCACCTCGCGCGTCCCGCGCGACGCCCCGTTCGATCCCACATCGCACAAAAATCACGAGCAAAAAGTTCCCCACGCACCTTTACCCCCCTTGGTCACGATCGCCGCCGCGAGGACCACCTAGTCGCGTCGACGCGGGGACGCCGATTCGATGGTGCGCCCGGATGTCAGTGTTACAGATCACGACGGACGCCGAGAGCTCGCTCGGGAAGGACGTGGTGCCGCGGACGGTTCGGTTCTTGGAGACGCTGCGTTCGGCGAGAGAGGCGACGTCTCCCCGAGAGCGCGCGTGCCGCGTCGCGCTCGCGATTCTGGCCGACGGTGAACCGCCGGCGTCGTTAAGAAAACCGTTGAATCCGATTTTAGGGGAGACCACGTCGCATTCGTGGAGTTTCCGCGGACGAACGAGAGGTT